CTGGCAGAGCAGTGATGAAATCCCTCTGCAACATAGGCTTCAGGTAGGAGTTTATGTGTCCGTGCTGGTAATGACACATTTGGGATATAAGATGCTCCACAAACTCCACTTGGTCAGACTCTGACCACTGCTCAAAATACTTGACACACAGCTCTTTTTCTTTCTCATAGCTTGCTGAGAGTTTCCGCTGCTTGGACACAATCATACTGGAAGTGCCATTGGCAAGTTTTGTCTGTAGAAGGGGAGTGATAAAAAGAAACATGACATTCAGTATTGAAAATGAGCAAAACTTTATATATATATATATAAATATATATAATATTTATATATTTTCCTCCTTCTGGCCTGGCATGCTATGCTATGTCTTTATGATTGAGCCCACCCACCCTGTTATTTAGGTAGTACTTGGACATTTGTGAACCACAATTATTTCACGAAAGCCACAGAAATCAGAGTAAGGTGATAAAATCAGGTCTGCAAGAAGACCAAGCACTCACTTCTGAAAGTCCACAGAATATTATTTAGAGATATAAAAAAGAAAACTCCAAATGGAAAGCACAGTACTCCGGCAAGCCAAAGTGCCATTTACTGTAGTTACTGGACTTCAGAAAATTCCTTGCTTACAACTTTTTTTTTTTTTTTTTGGTACCGGGGATTGAACTCGGGTCCTTGCGCTTGCGCAGCAGGAGGCGAAACCACTGAGCTAAATCCCCGGCCTGCTTACAACTCATTTTTTAAGTCAAACAAGTAGCAGTCTGTGCAGAGAAACACTATCTTGAGACTGCAGTACCTTTGGAGATAAAGTTTCAATAGCCCTCATGCTCAATCTACCCTTTCCTTTCAAAATCCCACCTCCACAGTCATCAAGATTAAATGCCATAAACCTTTTTAATTAATTGATTTATTCAATAAGTATTTGAACCATGTGCCAAACACTATCCTCAGTGGTAAGAATACCATAAAAAACAAAAATAACAGTCTGGATCATCATGAACATCTAGTTTAGGACGCTGCACATTAAAAACAAGTAAACAGGCCAGGGATGTAGCTCAGTGGCAGTGCACTTGCCTGGCAAGTGCAAGGTCCTGAGTTCGATTCCCCATACTGGAAATACAAAACAAAAAACCCAAGTAAACAAATAAAAACTATAACAAAGATTGTGTTGCGAAGAAAAAGAAAAGCAGGATAAAGGGACAGGAAAAAAAAAAAGTGTATGTTATGCTGGGCATGGTGGCACACACCTATAATCCCAGCAATCAGGAGGCTGAGGCAGGAGGATCACCACAAGTTCAAGGCCAGCCTGGACTACATAACAAGATGCTATCCTGTCACAAAAAAACTGAGGAGAAAAAAAAAGGTATATGTTATCATGATAGGCAAAATTCTAAGATGACATCCCAAGACCTCGGCTCTTATTACACAGCACACACACCTACCCCTCACACATCCAAGCAAACACTAATGTAGGTACTGCTGTGATTAAAAGGAGAACCCAAATCCACTGATTTTAAGATAGGGAGGTTACTCAGGCAGGCCTGACCTAACCACATGAAGCCTCATTGCAGTTTCCTTCAGCAGGTCACAGAGGAGGAAGGAGGGGAAGGCAAGTGTGGTCATCCTGTTGGGAGTTCAGTCCTCAGTTCCGCCAGCAACAACGAGCTGAGACTCGGACCCGCCCACCCCGTTCCCAGGTAAGAGCTCAGCCCAGCCGATGACTTGATGGACGACAGTCTTGTGCTGCTCTGAACGGAGAGCACGGCTGCACACCAGGCTTCCCGACTGTAGCATCGTCATGCTAACACATAGGTGGCGATTCAACTTGTTACGTCTGTGATCATGTGTCATGCAGCAAATAAAACATAATATATCTGAGTCTATCTGGTAAGGCAGTTTTCCTAGAGAGTACATTTGAACAGAGACACAAAAGAAATGAGATAAATAGATCTTTTCTTAGATGGGGAAAAACGCCTAGGCAATGGGTATTCGGACAGCGAAGGTCCTGGGAGGCAGTCTGCCTGCATGCTGCATGAACGTGGACCCGAGTAAGCAAGAAGTAATGTGCGGAAGGAGTCTGAGCCAAATCATCCAAGTCACCAGCTGTCTTTGTACACAGGTGAATGCTTGTTCCTCCCACCAAGAGTGGAATTTAAGGGCTGAGGACGTAGCTCAGTGGCACAGTGCTTGCCTCCCATGTGCCAGGCCCTTGGTTCAATCTCAGTATGCCCAAAGGCGGCGGGGTAGGGGGGGAGTGGAATTTATGTCGTATCTTTGATGAGCAGAATATGGAGATAGTCATATTCTGGAACTTCCAAGCCTGTGCAGCTTCTTCTTAGACCCTTGAGCTAGCATGGAAGCAGCTCAGGCTACTCTGTCAGAAAGAGAAAGTGGATGTTGAGGGGCTAAGCAGAGAGTAAAGCATGAGAGCGAAACAAGCAGACCAACTCTTGACTACTTCAACAGTCTATTAAGAAGAGATAACAGGGCTGGGGCACTGCGCCTGCCTTGCAAGCACAAGGTTCTGAGTTGAACCCCCGGTTACCACCCAAAAAAGAGAGAGATGATAAACTTTTGAACTAGCGTGGTAGGGGTGGACATGGAGAACAATAACTGGGATTCAGTATACATTCTGAAGGCAGATCTAATAGAATTTGCTGACAGACTGGATTATAAGGATATGAGAAAAGGAGACAAGGACTATACTTATGTTTGAAGTGGGGTAGAGGGGCACACTAGGTAAAGATGTAGAAGTAAACAGAAACTTTTGCTGAAGACGAGGTGAGTTTCTATGCAGGACAACCACACGCCTGCACACCGGGCTACTGCTCAAAGCAGTCTGATGGAGCCTTGGTGTGTTTGCCTGCGGCAGCCTCAATCTGGCAAGGGGACCCTGCTGCTGAAGAGCCTGTCCCTGCCCAGACAAACTTGAATGGGCCACAAAATAGTACCAAATTTCGATAACATACATTTGCTATTTAAGACATTGGCTTGCCTTACTTTCTAAGCATTAAATTCTACATACTGACCTCTTTATAAATGGTTCCTGATGCACAGGTGAAAGTACGTTTTGAAGAAAGGCACCAAGCCATTCTGTTTACAAGGAACAAGTGGATACCTGTACACAGCAGACTCTGGTGTGCAGAGGTGGATGTTCTTAGTGTAAATGCCACTGCTGTCTTTGATAGACTAGAACTGATTAATGAGAACCTTGCTGGACAAAGGCATTCTGGAGCCTTGGGGGCTGCTTTTTGCATAATTATTCATTTGCATCTCAGCAAAGCAAAGTCATCAGATGTGGAAGAGGAGCTGGAGAGTAACAAACAGGTGGGTTTGTAAAGTCAACCAAATGCTACTTCTCATCTTCACAAAACGAAACTCCCCCTTTGGCATTATTTATCTCTTTTGTCTTTTAAAAGATCGTACCCAGCTTGGGTATTACCCAGTAATGTTTTCTGGTTAAAGTCCAGAAACATCAGCAACAGAGAAAATCATCAAGTTAATATAATAATTTTTTTTTTTGTACCAGAGATCCAACTCAGGACCTTGCGCTTTCGAGGCAGGCACAGTGCCACTGAGCTAAATCTCCAGCAAAAATTGATTCTTCTAAACAATCCATATATTTCTGTAATCACAGGGAGTCATGTTCTCATCAGTGGCTATCAGACTGTTAGATAAAACAAGTTTATCCTACTACAGGAGCTAACATTCAGAGGAGCCATTCTTATGTTTTCACTGATCATATCATAAATGTAACTTAAAAGATCTGGCTATATTAGAAATGAAGATTAAACTGAGATTTCATGTATTTGCCGACTGTTCTGGCTGGTAAACAAGATAATTTTCTAGTATAGAAAGACACATACCTCAATTCCAATGAGGTACTCTTAATTATGTCTGTGTTGTATTGTTTAAAAGCTTTGGCCCTGGAATAAAAAAAAATTTAGTTTCAAACTCTAGCTGTTCAATTTATCACCTGTGTGACATAGAGTAAGTAACCTCAACTTTCCGTGCAGTTTCCCTCAATTGTAGAGTGGGGAACAATGGGACCCAGGGCCTGGGCTGGGGTAGCAGCTCACTGGTAGAGCCCTACCTCGAACGTTCCAGGTCTGAGGTCCAGCACCGTACGGAAAACCAAAGTCCACGAACAACAGGAACTGTCTCGCTCACCACGTGGCACGTATGAGAATCAACTTTCTCTTTTCACCAGTTCTGAGGAATGGATCCATCACTTCCTGCATGGTAGGAAGCTCTCTGCCACTGAGCTGCATTCCCGGCCCTAACTCAACACTCTTCATGAACTTATGACACTGCTGGTTTTGGACTTTCCTCTGCTTTTTTTTTTTTCCCCAAATACATCCTTTGTCACTATGAAATATATTTTTTTCATTTTAATCTTTTAATACACATAAAAGGGCACAAACTTAAGTGTACAGCTCAATGAATCTTCATGAAGTGAACACACCCATGCAGCCAACACCAAGACCGAGCAGCAGCTCAGCAAGCCTCACAAGCCCGCTGCGTCCCTGTTCAGGTCCAGCCCCCTTCAGAACAACCAGTGTTCTTATTTCAATGTTAAAAAGAACGTTTTGTTTTGTTTTGTTTTTTGGTACCAGGTTTCGTACTCAGGACCATGCGCTTTTGAGGCAGGCGGCAGAACCACTGAGCTAGATCCCTGGCCCGTGTACAGATGGTTTTCAAAACTACATTCTTTGGGGCGGGGATCTACCTCAGTGGTGCTGCCGCCTGCCTCGCAAGCACAAGGTCCTGAGTTTGATCCCTGGTACCAAAAATAATAAGAAAGAAAAAGAAAATCATCTGTACAAAAAACATTTAATATTTAGGAATAAATTTGACAAAATGCATTAATACCTGTAAACCATAAAACAGTGTTAAGGGAAAATTTTAAAACACTGAAATCAATGGAGACAGTATTATGTTCATACACTGGATTCACTATTGTTAAGAGGTTCTTTTCAATGGACCTACAGAACTAGTAAGATATCAGTCAAACTCTCAGTAGGTAAACTGACACACTGATTCTATTTGTACAGAAATGCAAAGGACCTAAATTTAGGTAAGGATCATCTTGAAGACTCACACTACTGAATTCCACGGTGTGCTATAGCAAGCAAGAGTGTGGCCTCGGTGTAAGGACAAGAGTGTACATCAGTGGGACAGAATAGTCAGGGGAGAGTCTAGAACAGACTCACGCATGGCTAACTGAGTCTTAATAAAGGTGCTAACATAATTAACAGGTAAGGGATAACCTTTCTTTCTTTCTTTCTTTTTTTTTGGTACTGGGGATTGAAGTCGGGTCCCTGTGCTTGCACAGCAGTTGGCAAAGCCACTGAGCTAAATCTCCAGCCAGGATAACCAAACAAGTGATGCTGAAACAACTGGCTTTCCATATAGGAAAAAAATGACCCATTTCTTACCTCATACCATATACATTTAAAAAAACAAACAAACTTAGGAGGACCCTAAATTTATATGTTGAAGCTAAAACTATGAAATGTCTAGAAGAAAATAGGAGAAAATCTCGGTGTCTTTGGGACAGATAAACATTTCATAGGGCATAAAAACACACAAACATTTTTGAACCCAAGGCCTTTGCACTAAGCTATATCCCTTGGCCCTTTTTATTTTGAGAAAGTGTCTCATTAAGTCACCAAGTTGCCCAGGCTGGGCTTTGAACGTGCTATCTCTTGTCTTAGCTTCCAGAGTACTGGGATTATGGGCATGTACTACCATACTTGGCTACAAACTATTTTTCCTTTCTTTTTGGTACCAGGGCTCGAACTCGGGACCTTGTGCTTGCAAGGCAAGCACCAGAACCACAGAGCTAAATCCCCGGGCCTTACAAACTATTTTTCAATAAAAGAAAATATTAACAAGTTGGCATGTGACAAAATATAATACTCTGATTCCCAAAAGTTTTTTTAAAGCACCAACTGAGAGAAACATATTTGACAATGGACTTATATCCAGATTATAGAGAATTTTCAATGTTCAATAGTGAAAAAATAACCCCTTTCAAAAATAAGAAAATAGAATGGTTTATGTTTTAACTGATCAAATATTTGTATATACCATTTCTCTCTCTCCTCCTTCACCTCCCACAACCCCACCCCGTACACCCATGGATGGCCAATAAGCATCTGAAAAGATGTTCAACATTATTAGTCTTTATGGAAATGTAAATTAAAGTCATGAGACACTACTACACACTTATTTAAATAGCTAAAATCAAAAGGGCCGACAATACTAAGTATTGGCAAGAATGAGGAGAAACTGGGTCTCACATATTGCTGTTGGCTGCAGTGTCCAAGGGTGCAACCATTTTGGAATCTAGGTTTACAAGTGCTTTATAATGTTAAACATAGACCTAGGACATGACCCAGCAATTCCTCTTAAGTATTTAACCTCCAACATGAACACACAGTTTCACAGAAGATTTGCGCATTAATGCTCACTGCTGCTTCACTGATAATGGTCCCATACTATGATAACACATGTCTCCCAACAGACAAACTGATAAACTACATCCGTCTGTGCAATGGAACAGAATGCACTACAGACACACACAATGACATAGATAAATCTCAAAAGCACGCTGAATGAAAGAAGCCAAGCACAAAAGAGCATACACTTTGCGTTTCTCCTTATATATAACTGTAGGAACAACAAATTTAAAGTTGAGTGATTAAAAGCAGATTAGTTGTTGCTTTGGGTTAGATGCAGGGGCGCATGGGAACTTTTGGGGCAATGAAAATGTTCTGCATCTTGTTAACACAAGCTTATACAACTAACACAATTCATTAAACTATATATTTAATGTCACCATAATATTAATTTTATTTGTAAATAAAAGACATTACACTTGTAAAGAACTCTGAAGATAAAGGTCTTCGTTTTCAGGCCTCCAACCTCTAGCATTCTCCCATACAGATTTTTCTACAAGTGTACAAAGTAAATGCAGCAAAATTTCAATTTGTGAACCTCTGAAAATCCACAAGGGCACAGTTAAAAAGTTCAATTACTGAAAAACCAAAAGACTTTATATTAGAGTGTATGGAAGAAAGGGTAATGGTTATGGTGGTGGTAGAATGGATTTGGCTTTCCCAGCAAAAG